TCAATTTATCTGGCCCTCATGAGTCCAAAATGGCATATGATGTCATATAGTAGAGGCATATGTTATTCTAAAGTGTATGAAGTGGCTAAAATTGGGAGTGAAATTAGAACACAGGAGCACTCTGCTCTATGTAAATACAATAATGAAAACAAATGTTTATTTTATAGAGCTGTAAACAGCCCTTTTAAAGACATGATGATGCCAAAGTGGCCTGATATAGAAATTAGTCTGACACTCCTGTTTTAGAGGAACAAATACCCTTTTAAATACATGCTCATTGTAAATAATACACAGTTGAGAGCATGTGTTTACATAATTTAAAAAGGCATAAATACATGAAAAACTAATAATACTAAAATAAAAATTTTACTAAACATTTCAGAATATTATTTTAAATTAAGGGGTTAACTTGTCAACTTAAGTTTACTGGTACTAAGCACATACTGGACAGATTCATTTCCAATTCATTTGGAAACTTTAAGGAGAAACAAATACACATAGACAAATAGACATAAACCTGGAAAGCTTTCCATAAACAGTCAGTTCAGATGTAAGTCTTATTTAAATTTCCTAGTAACAATTTTCACCCATGTTAATGGTTCTCCTGGATTTTAGATCTGCTTCTGACACTGTAGATCACGGTATTCTTGCTAACATGCTGAGAGATGCAATAGGTCTCTCAAGGGTGGCTATCAATGGTGTACTATCTTTCTGGCTGAACACGGGACCTGATCTTACAAGATTCCAAATATGAAGCTCTTAATTGTACTGACCAAGAATAAATACATTTTCGCGTTCAATAAGTGGGCATGTTTCAGATAATCTCTAAATTTTGCTCACAAAAATATTAAGGTATGCAAACAAGTTCAGTTTCTCCCAATTAATAAGAGGAGATTACATGTGCTACTGTCAGTTTGAGAGCGGCTTTAAAAGAAAGATGAAGCTCTGAGTCAACAGTCAGAATTAATAATGATAATTATTTTAAGGAAAATAAATACTGAATACTAAATACTGTGTTCATATGTGTCTCAAGGAGCTACAAACAAAAGTTAGATAAAAATAAAAAGTTAAATATAAAATACAGAGATATAAATAATAAAACATGTCTTTTGTCCTTTCATTGACACCCCTTTGTCACCCTCTGTCCCCCACTTCCCTTCAAGGAAGGAGCCACTGTCGGAATTATAGAAAGAATATGCCCTAAACAGCTGGATTTACTGGACCTGTACAAACGTTTCACCATGTCCCCCAGAAACCCAATACAGCCCCTAAAAATCTATAAAAAGAAAATAAAATGTTTTTCTTTTTACTAAAAATGCTATAATATTTAAGTTTAACCATAGTGTTCTTCTTTTTGGGTAAAATCCATCTTTTTTTTTCAGACAGTATTCCACTATCGGTAATTCAGACAGTCCTAATATCGTTACATGCATACAGACTCTCTCTCCATGGTCTGTCAGAAAGTTTTGCATGTATTTGTAGCTGATTTTCAAACATACTAGATTAAATAAAATTGAAAAAATAATCCTACAATCAGTTTCAAGTTTTTTCAATCACTTTGTGGGTGTTTATTTGCTCACCCTCCACTTATAAATTTGCATGTTTTGGACAGCAGAATATGCTTTGCATTTTGACTAAGGTAAACATTAAAAAATATTAAATTGAATTACTTTGCACCTTACAGTATGTTAAGATCCTCTAGGTATCGGCAAGCAGCTTTGCACCTGTGTTAATACATGCAAACCTATTGAAGATCAAATTTTTGCAAGATTTTTGCAAACCAGATCATGTCAGGCTTCAATAGCGTGACATGTAGGGACTTGAGAAATTTTTTAATTTTTAACTATGTTTTTCCCCTACATCAATTAATTTGACAGTTTTCTAATGTTTCTGATCATATCTATGTTGATTACATTCAATCCTACTGGTATTTTAAGCCAAGTAAAAATGGAAAAGTGTTCTGCTTGACAAATTGTTTTAGTGACTTCTAAGAGGTACTTTGTAACAAATACTTGCAAGAGAAATTATTAGACCAAAATCCTGCATATTTCTTTGACCTTTTAGAGCCATACACCCCTTCTCATAGTTTTAAAATTCTCTGGTCAAAGTCTTATAATAATTCCATGAACAGATGTAACGATAAATCCTTTAAATCAGTGGGCCCCAGACTGTGGAGTTCTAACCGGCCATCTTTGCATTGTTTTAAGAAACAGTTGAATATTTTTTTTCTTTTCAGAATGGCTTTTAAATTTTTTTTTAACTGTGTGATGTTGCATGCATGTTTTTAAAAAATATTTTAATTTTTGTGTATTTTTATGCTGTCGCAGGTCAAAAAACACTAAATTGGTTCCAAGAGGTATAACACTTTGGGTTTTTTCACCTTTTAAAAATGCATGATATAGTTTCCTTACCTACAAAATCCACAATACACATAGACACCACAAAAATATACAGTGTGTCCTACAGTATCAGGACACACATCCAGGATTTATTCTGGTTGGTAAAACCAAACCAGTTGTTGTGCAGAAAAATATATAGGAGATAGAACTGGAGTTCAAAGCCAATACACAGTAGAAACAGACTCATAAATATTTAGAATACCAAAACACTTAATTTTCTCCAATTATTTATTCTATTTTTTGAATTATTATTTATCTATATCTGTCCAAGTTGTTGAATTTTGTTTAATTGCCAAGTCATTAGGTCAAGATGCAATACCTCTGTAGCGCATCAAAATGTGCTCAATATTTTAAGTGGAATGACCCTACTTTTATAATCTTTAAGACCAGCTCTTAAATATCAAATTTGTTCAAAGGAAGCTGCCTCCCTTGCTGTTTGTCATATGACACTTTTCTACAATCGGCTCTAAAGACACAAGGCAGTTCAGCCCTCAGAATAGTTATCTGTAATGTTATCAATGGGAGTATTTTTGGTCAAACAATGACACACTAAGAATTTTGCTGTAATTAAATCAAAAAAAGTAAAAAGATGTCCATTATAGTAAAGGCTAAATGGCTAAACGTGGGTCCAGTTAATTAAAATATCCCTAAAATCAAGTACTTGATCCACCAATAAACCATTGCAATAGAAAGGTGTAATAGTACTGAGACACAAGATCAGAACTGTAAGTCACTTGTAGCATATCCTTCTAGACTGCACAAGGTTTGCATATATAAATGCTGAAACTACAGAAATAGAAGATGGGAACACAAGGTATTAAGTACATGCCTTGTATGGCGCAACAAGTGGGACAAAAAGTTTTACAAAGCTGTTCAAAGAACTTAGAATGCATGGCTTAATAAACTAGGGTACATGATAAAGTAAAACTATGATATACTGTAACTAAACAAATAGCACACAAAGCAAAAATTATTTAAAGATTCGCTAAAAGCAAAGAAAGAAAGATCACTGACATATGTCAATATTTATACAAAAAATCTTGAATTCTCCCTTCCAGCACAGATGGATACTTTGTATCCAACCTATGGTCTATACGAAGGTGGCACATCAACCAGATATTGCAAAAAGCTTTTTATTCTAATCCAGCCATAATCAGTTTGTGGATTGTAGCATTTCTAACAGAAGACTCAACAGATTAACCAGGAGAGCCTTCTAAGTGGCCAGAACCCACACCTATAGAGCATGAAAAAAGTCCAGATATAAAATAATAAGGAATGCATTGCACCAAAGAGGAATAATTTGCATATGCCACACATAATTCTACACTGTTGTAGGAAAATCCTGCTGATAGTCTTTAAAACTTCCAAAACATTAGCTGCTACCCCACCAAACGTTTGAGATTTGAATAAGAAAGGTAGTGTGGAAGAAACCTACACTACAGAAATACTTCCGACTGGTTACTCCACACAGGAGAAGTTTTGAAGCAATAAAAAATAAAAAGGGCTTAGTAGCATTTAACCAATTTTAGGGACTATGTTCACTGCTGATTTCTATCTCGTGCCACTTTAATATACATAGAAATTCATGGACTTGCATACAGTAGTACCATTCAAAATTCCCCCACTTTCCTTGATGGGCCCCTGGCTGGTTCCCTACAATTCCTTTTTAAGCATACATTTTCATACTAAACTATTCTTTCTGTCATGATTTGTGGACATTAAGATCTGAAGAGAAGCAGTATCCCCTGGTCAGACCCTTTAATTCAGTGAAAGGGTGGAGACAGAGTTAAAAAATATGCAGGCCCAGGAGAAGACCCATGGCTGGAAGTTGGGGGGATTTTACTGGGAGGTGTAGGAAAGTAGGCTGCCATTCGGCTGACTTTTGACTGGGAAGGGCCATTTAATGGCTACTATTGTAGCTATTAAGGCTTGTCAAGCAGGGGTCTCCAACTCCAGGTGTTGAGGTTTTTAAAGGAGCATCCATTTTTTTAACAGAACAAAGAAAAAAAAACATGCTGGATAAATGTTTGAGAAGAAAAAGGGTGAACCCCAAGCTTACTTTGCCCATCCCTCAAAGCAAATCATAAATCAAATAAATTCAAAAGGCTGCCATGCTGTAAATCACATTTTTACAAAGCCTCTACAAAAAACCCGAATGAAATGTGTGGTTCATTACAAGGCATTTGCCAAACTTGAATGCAAATGCCTGAATCGAATCAATCATTTGATTCAGCCAAGTCGGAGTAGCAATGTACCTAAAAGTTGCAGGGTAGGGTTGGTACTGTATAGCATCTCGCCAAGTTGGTTGGTTTTCATATTGTTTGTAGGAAAAAAAGGTTCCCTCTCTCAATGTAAACAGCCCATATAGAGTGTCTAACCATCCTGACACAGCATTTATCTCTCTCTACCCTTCATTTCCATACTTGCAAAACCAGTTGAACCATCCATGTGTCCTGAAGTCAAACAAAATCACAAGTCAAACAACGCTGTCATGATTCTTATCAGAATGTCCTCCAGGTTAAGATTGAAAGAAAACAACCTTGCTGCATAGCAACACAAGTCTCTCTATAAAATGTTTAATCAAGCAAATGACACACTTACCAGAGTCGCACTACTTTTCATGTAAGGTACTAAACACTCAGAGACTGACTGGGTGAGAGTAGGAGGCAGAACTTCAGGAAAGGGGTTTGGAATATGGAAAGTTGAAGACTCCTCTTCCTCTTTAACATTCCTAAAGGATAATCATCGGAGAAAAAAGTGATACAAGTGAGGATGAAACATCCTAAGTAAGAGCAGACAATAACACTGGGCCATCATTATACATTATATAGGCCTGGGTTGAATGGTGCACAGGTTTCAAAAGGTAAATACGTAGATTTTAAAGCCAACAATAAAAGTGGCTTTTCCATTCTTTTTAAAGCACATATCAACTTCTTGAAACTCGTCTTTAAAAACTTAGTAGCTGTAAGTCAAAAAAATGTATATACACATTTTTGCAGTAAAAAAAATATATAAATGCCATTAAATGTTATGATTGGGTTTTCAGTAATGTTATGGAGAAACTGATGTTACCAGATAAACTTAGTGAATTTATTCCTGTTTTTGCATTCAATTTAGTCCACAATGTGGAATTCTGAATCTGCTCCTGTTTTTGGAGATAATAGGAATGTAGGAGGTGACAAACCTGGTTCTCTTTGCATTTACCCCTCCTGCACCTAACTACCTGTTGACACAGTCAATCCCCAACAAACCTTAGATAACAACGCGATGAACAGCCCCTGACAACACCTTTATAAAAGCATATAGTGCTTTAAAGCTACAGTGTGTAATAATTACAGGCATATAAAGTCAGAAATTTAATATATTATACATAACTATGTTATTTATCATCACCTATGAGCTCAGCCTCTTAACCTTAATATTTGTGTTGCCTTAGAATTCGTTATTTATAATTACATAGGAGCGGGTCTCGCAGCCATGGAGGCAGACATCTTTGCGCTACGGCAAGCGCAGAGGCAACAAACTAGCGATTGCGAGATCTCCCATTACGCTCGAAAATAACTACGGCAAGTTGAGAGAGATGAACTGAGACGGTACTGAACAGTAGATGGCAGTATTATGCCTGAGAAGCGTTTAGTCTGCCTGAAACCAAAGAAGAAGAAGAAGCAGGTATACTGCGCCTCAGTAACAAGAAAGGTGAACAAGGCGGCAGGCGTGAGTGACTTTGCAAACTGTTTGGCACTGTGTGGCCAAACATCAGACGAATGGAGGATCATGCCTACTCTGTATCACAACGTAAAGCGGCGGACACCGAACCCCCGTCATCTAAGAAGCGGAAACACGACGAGAATAAACGCAAGCGTGACAAGAAACGACAAAAAACACGGATCAACATTGGCACAGCATTTACACGATGGAAGTCACTGATGGAGGAAAAAGGTTTTCAAAGTGACGCTCAAGTTGCCAGTTTTCTCTTGGACAGGTAATTAATCCTACACACACAATTGTCTAATATCACTGCAGTTTTTGGAGTACAGGTTGCTCAGACCTGTCTAAAACAATAACATGCTGCGTGATGATGCTGTTACTCTCCAGTATACTTATTCAGCAACGTCCCTGACGTTTCACAGGTAATGATTCAGTAATTTTCTGTAAAATAATTTTCTGGATATATACCTCGGTTACTTCTCTCCGGCTCCTTTGGAGATCTTCAAGCCTTTTCTCCTCTGCTCTCACCCCGCTGGCACCCCTCCCTCGCCTGGCCCTAGCTGCACGCCCACCACGGCCTCTCTGCCCTCGTCCTCTTCCTCTCCCTCGCCTTGTAACCCCCGTGCCACAAACATGACTTGGACTCTGTAAACGGGGAATATTCTTCCAGCAAACACAATCTCGCTGTTAAACTAATGACTACAATTACTTCGTCTGTTTATATCACCATGCAAAGCAGCTCACCAAAACGTCACAACGATGTAGAAAAAATAACGGGTATATTTATTATCTAAAGTCTACATGAAATCTATACCCTACACAGACTAATGAAATACTATCTGTAAAATTATCTATGTAAACAAACCTCATCACTTGAGAAGGTAGGTGATGCGGACGTCGTGGAAGACATTTTGTCCCGTAACGCTCGCCGTACTGTTGGGGGAGAAGCGGTGGGGGGGAGACGTTCATGTTGCTGCAGTCTGCAGTCTGACCGCTAGATGTCGCTGAAAATTACACACTGTAGCTTTAAGTTTTGGAAGTACTGACTGTTGATTTGTATGTTACAGAAAGAAAGGACAGTTTTGGTTTGTTTTTTTTGTTTTGTTTGTTTTTTCTAAATACTCACAAATAAGCTCAATATTACCTTTGGAAACAAGTTTGCCAATGACCGGAAGGATGGGTTACTTTTAATCTACAAACTTGAAACTCAATCAACTGGTGTTCAGTATATTGCTACAACAATGTGGCTCTTTTACTGGCTCCTTTAAATGCAAACACTGTGCTATTTGAATGCAGGTCTGAAAGCATCATAAAAAGTGTTGCATAAACACTTCGGCTAGGTGTATTTATAATAATGCATTTTGTACGAAAACTTATGCTAGTTGCAGTTTATGCAAGTAAAAGTGAGCCATACCTGTTCCCCTTGCAAAACTTGGTCTTGCTCCTCTGAGAATTTAATGTGAGTAAAGGATCTTCCAGAGATATGATTGCTGGGTTGGAGAAGACACTTACATTACCCTTGTCACTCTGAAAAATCTCTGCTCTCTGTCCAAGTCCTCCAGAAGTGAGAATTTTATCCAGTGTCTTATTCATAGCACCCGTGTGGACTGGCTAAATCCAAGACATCACCTAAAGCAAACAGGAGAGACGAGCTGTTGGACTGGATTATGTGGCCAGTTGGAGCAGGCTGTCTGGCAGGGCTCTTCTGCTTGCCGTTAAGCAGCACACACACACCCACACACAAGTTTCTCTGGCTCATCTGCTGCCCACAGGGCTGGCCCAGCAGGGCAAAACGATACCTCCTACTCAAACGTGATCTACCACAATAAAGATATTTGTAACACATTGACTGTCAAAACTGCTTTTTTTGCATTAGGATTATAAATAATCTGACAATTTGTTTTGTTTCTGTTATTCGTGATTATTTTAATTTAAAATACATTTGCAAATGGATAGAAAGACTTTTTAAACAGATGGGTTGGTAATTAGCCTAGAAAAGCTTGAATCTAACTTTTCTTTTCCTATGAACTTTGCACAGGGTATTCTCTTCAAAATTACTCTGCTACAGAAGACCGGTGATTGGTAAGAAAAGCTGATTCATTAGACTGGTTCCATTCCAGGTTATGTCTCTCATGACAAGCGCTACATGGGGGATGGTTAGGATTAGAACATTGTCCTGAAAGGTAATGTGTAACAGACATTAACTAGGAGAGATCTAGACTAAGCTGCAGCAAAGAGCTAGACTAGGGCACTACTTTTCTACATTAAACAAATGCCTAACCTACAACACTGGTTCAATAAAAAATGACACGCTAAAAGCAATGAAGGAAATCAAAGCATAAAAGAGAACAAATATGTTTTTTCGAAAACAAAAACATTGTAGAAAAAGATTGAACTCATCTTTGCAACAAAGCCTGTTGTTGAATTTCCAGAAATATTCTGAAAACAAGACTTAATTTAAAACATTTATACAGCCTTCTTTTCAGGGTCCTTTACAAATCAAAAATAAAAAAGAATGGAAAAAAAAATAGTTAAAAAGAATAGGGTTTTTACTATCTGAAGTTTAAAATGGAAAAATTGGTCTCCCAAGGCAAAAAAGGCTCCCGGCGATGACAGAATGGTTCAAAAAGCACCCAATGATGCTGGGGCCATTAAAAAATTAAGCATTTTTATGTCTCCCAGTATAACATATCACAGCCTGGTGGTGGGGTTGTTCCTCTAAAGACCCAGCTGGGCCCAGCACCTGCAGGGGGAATCATGGACGACTGGTGCAGAGAGAATTGCGCAGCAGTCAAAAGGCGAAGGCTACTCGATCAGTGGACATTGAAACTGAGACATAGTATGTCATATTACTGGTGGGAAAGGAGCATGAACTTGTGCGGTAGGTTGAGATACACTGGGTAGAAATAGTTGGGCTCACCTCCACAGATAGGACTGGCCCTTGGGGGTGGATCTACTGGTCTCCCCCCAGCTCAGCCATCTGGTGTTGGATTTTACCCTGGTGGATGAGAGGCTCACGTCCCCTCGCCTTCGAGTAGGGGCAAGGTCACTTTCGGCATATTGGCCGAAAGGCAGTACTGACTATCAGGCCATCTTATAATCCAGGGGTGCTAAGGGACCAGGACACTAGCCCGGAGATTGATGATCGATTTTATTGTAGTATCGTCTGACCTTTGGCCGCATGTCTTGGAAACTCAGGTGGAGAAAAGGGTGGAGCTGTCCACCAATCACCACCTGGTGGTGAGCTGGATAAGCTGGAAGAGGAAGATGATGGACAGACTTGGCATGCCCAAGCGAGTTGTGAGGTTCTCCTTGGAACATCCAGTAGAACCCTTGGTTAGGGACTTGTTCAATTCCCTCTCCGTAGGAGCACCTCCCAGATGCAGGGGAGACTGGAGACAAGGAGTCTGAGTGGGCCATGTTATCTTCCACAATTGTTGATGTTGCTGCCCATAGCTGTGGCAGCCGTTGCCGGATTTCCCTAACCCAGTGGTGGACACCGGCTGTAAGGGACACTGTTAAGCTAAAGAAGGAGTCTTATCAAGCTTGGCTGGGTTAAAGGACTTCTGGGGGAGCAAGCAGGTATCAAGTGGTGTACTATTTAGATAGCGGTTGGCCTCAAAGGGATTCTGGTAAATCCCCTGGTGCCTTCGAAGGGGAAAGCAATGATTTGCCAAAACTGTTTTCAGTGGGAGTGGGGAGCTGCTGACTTTGAAAGAGGACATGTTGGATGGTGGAAGGAATTCTTCATGGATCTCCTCAATCCAGCAGACACATCCTCTGTGGTGAAGGAAGAGACGGGGTGTTTGGGGTCCGATTAATTAATCTGCCCGGCTGAAGTCACCAAGGTGGTAAAAAAACTCCACGGTGGCAAGACTTAAAGGATGAATAAGATCCGCCCTGAATACCTCGGAGCTCTTGATGTTGTGGCTGACATGCTTGTTTAAGTTTGCGTGGAGGTCAGAGACTGTGCCCCTGGATTGGCAGATGGGTGCGTTGGTTGCCCTTCATAGGAGTGACCACAGGGTGTGTTCCAACTATTGGGCGATCACAATTCTTAGCCTCCCCCGGAAGGCTTAAGCTAGGGTGCAGGAGAATGCATATACACACAGGATTTTTAGGTGCAGCAAAAGGCTGGAGGGAGTCTACTGCAGGGACAAGTGAATCTCATCCCCTTTTTTAAAGATGACGTGGCTCCCTCATGCCAACGCATACAGCATGCAATGGGGCAGTTTGTAGAAGAATATGAAGCGACCAGGATGAGAATCAGCTCCTCCAAGTCTGAGGCCATGGTTCTCGACCGGAAAAAGGTGCCCTGTCCCCTCACATTGGAGAAGTTTAAATATATTTGGGTCCTGTTCACAAGTGAGGGGAGAATGGAGCAGAATATTGATTGAAGAATCTGTGCGGCTGCTGCTATAATGTGGGCGTTGCACCGGCTTATGTGAAGATAGGGCTGAGCAAAAAGGAAAAGCTCTCAATTTACTCATCAATCCATGTTTCTACCCTGACTTATGGTCATGAAATCTGGATGATGACCAAAGGCACAGAATCCCTGATTTAAGGAGCTAATAAATAATAAACCCTTTAAATAATTAAATAAATAATAATAATTAAAACCCTTTAAAAAATTAAATGTAATACTTTTTGGTAAATTCCTTTAATTGTAATCCTTTCACTCTGTATTTATTTAAAGCTACAGTGTGTAACTTTTAGCGACATCTAGCGGTCAGACTGCAGACTGCAGCAACATGAACATCTCCCCCCCACCGCTTCTGCCCCCCCCCCCCCCCCCCCCCACCCCCGCCCCCCCCCCCCCCCCCCGACAGTACGGCGAGCGTTACGGGACAAAATGTCTTCCGCATCACCTACCTTATCAAGTCATAAGGTTTGTTTACATAGATAATTTTACATATAGTATTTCATTAGTCTGTGTAGGGTATAGATTTCATGTAGACTTAAGATAATAAATATACCCGTTATTTTTCTACATCGTTGTGACGTTTTGGCGATCTCGCAATCGCTAGTTTGTTGGCTCTGCGCTGCCGTAGCGAAAAGATGTCTGCCTCCATGGCTGCGAGACCCGCTCCTATGTAATTATAAATAACAAATTCTAAGGCAACGCAAATATTAAGGTTAAGAGGCTGAGCTCGTAGATGATAAATAACATAGTTATGTATAATATATTACATTTCTGACTGTATATCCCTGTAATTATTACACACTGTAGCTTTAAGAGCTTTTGCACATTAAATTTAAACTGTCAATACTGGATATTACTACAAAAACCAGTTACAATTTATTTTCCAATACACTGGGTGAGCAGCCTCCTCATCCCTAGCCTGGCTTGAAAATGTAAGCCACTATCACTCAGTGGTGTACCCATTATTATCTAAAAGTCTGTGGGAGCTTTCTCTATGCTGGACCAAACTCTCTTAAGCTTATTAGAGATATTTCAGACCCAGCTAAAGATACACAAGCTGGGATTGTTTACACACCTTCTTTTAGAATTGTTGCGTAACTCAGCACCTTTCTGTTACCCAGTTGAAACTGCACTGCCAAAAAGTTTAAAAATAAGTTGATAAGCCTAATATACCCAAAGATATAAAACAACAAAAAAAACTACTGAAGCTCAGTATAAAACTGGTTAAATCCTTATGTGACATTTAAACTAATTAGTTGCCAGAGAAGTTAAATATCTTTATAACAACTTTTAAAAGTCAACAACTTAACACTTCACCAGGAATAGCACATGCTAATTTCTTAAATCAGTTTAAATTTAAATCTTTTACCTTCAAGCATCTTTTAGTGAGGTTTCAGTTCAAATCCTATGCCTCTTATTATTGCAGTGAAAACTGACACGCTGGGTTCACGCTAAAGCAACGTGCTCTCGGCCCATAAACCTGGATCCAGTTTAACCTGTTGTGAATGAGTGCTTTTATTCTGCAGGATCTCATTTCAGTAGCTTGTGTAGGGAAGCAAAGATGACAATACAGACAAGTGGCTTGATAAAAGCTTTAATCATAGCAACGCTCACCAAACAAGAACAAGTGTACACATCAGTGCTGTACTGCATCCACTCTAAAGGAAACTGTAAAACTTAAATATGGAAACATTCAACTGAAAATCAGACCTGATCTGTCCTACAATCCAGTACTATTTAGATAATCCACTTTTTTAATTAATATATCCAATAATATTACCGCTCTGGGAATCACTAATAATTTACAGGATTATTATTTACCATCACTGATCACAGTTCTTTGCAGTAATGCATAAAATGTGTAACATAAAAGAATCCAACAAAAAGTATAAGAATGTGATAAAGTATCCTTTAAAAAACTCAAATTTTTTATGAAGCCCAGCAAAGAGCATGAAAGGTTTCTCAGGGGACAGCTTCTTTGACACCAGAGATGATGGCTCCAGGAAAAAAAATAATAAAAGACCGCAAGATGAGCTCCCTCTAAAAGAAAACAAGAGGATATTGCTTGTGTTCTGGTGAGAAATATGATATTATTTGGAACTGTATTATACTTACATGGAAGAATAAACTGTCAGAGGAATTACTGTGCTACTACAGTCCAGTTTCTTTTGCCTTCTCAGTATCCTCCTCAGCATACTGGATGGAGAGAATAAGCAGGTTATGTTAAATGGCTGGCTGAGTCAGATAAAATCACATTTCTACTAGATGAAAGAGCTATAGGATACAAAATAAAAAATCTTGAAAACATTGAATTT